GGGCACGAAATTTTTTTACGGTAGACATAATTCATCAAGGCCTACAAGATGCGCAAAGTCCCGACTCAAAAGCGTTCCAACACCTGGGAATGTTCCCTCGTTAGTTAAATTTTATTTTTAAAAACTTGCCGTTATTATAGTTTGTTCAGTATCTAAAGGTTTAGATGGTAAATTCATGGTTTTTTCTTTTGATCTCTTCAATTGTCGTGATTGTCGTGATTGTCGTGATTGTCGAACACATGGTGTAAAATTATATTTGTGCATACTAGCTGCACGTGATATAGTTAATTTATCATAAAGTGGATTAGCTAGAAAAAGAAATAATAATAATTATCCATGAGATATTATAACAATAAACTTACCAATAATTCGCATCATTTTTGCTGGATTATCCAAAATTGGATGAGGTATAGGTTTATCCAAATCCCTAATAACAATCATTAACAAAAATTCTATTAAAAAGTATAAATGTATGAAAACCTTTTTTTTAATACTACGTTCATGAGGTTAAATCTTCGTATATGTATATGTAGCTTATATATATGGAATTTTTCAATCGATAAAAGTCAGGAAAAAAACGAAAAACTATTGTTTTGAAGATGTTGACACTGATGTGTATACTACTACTCACAAGTGGTGATACATGTCTATATAATTGTACAGGTAGCAAAGAGAAATAAAGTGCACATTTTATATGTTGTTCTTTTTTACAATTCTTTCTTATGGAATAAGAAAAAAAGTAAAAAAGTAATGATGAAGATTGTTTATTTAAAAAGACGAATATAATATTTTTTTTTGTTGTTCCTCCCTTTCAATCACAAATAATATTAAAATCTGTGAATATGATTATTAAATTAGATGGTAAGAAACCTATCAAACGAGACATTGTCAACAAGTAAAACCTTATCAATACTTATTGTATACAAACTGTAGAAGCCAAATAGAATATAAACGAATATAGTTTTTTTTTTTTCAATCAGAAAAAAATAAGTATTAAAACAATAGACTAACCAAATCGATGTTTCAAATAATATAATATCTGGTTTAAGCATTTTCCATCCATCATCATCATCATCATTATCATGATTTTCAATGTCATCCATCGAAATAAAACTATATTATAAAATGTTTGCTCATACAAAACATTATAACGAGAAAAAAAAATGTAATCTTTTTTTCAAGTACATCTTATTAACAATATAAATCGTGTCATATTTCATTGCATATAATCAGTATGTATAGATGAGAAGAATAGAAAAAAAAAAGAATTCACGTCTTTCATTTTTCTTTTTACTTTATATAAAAACAAAAACTGAAACAAAGGAAACCTGGAGGATCGATAGATGGAAAGAACACACCACACAAACAAACAAGTCAAGGATTTATATATATATATATTTTAGAAATGCGATACACTATGTATAAATATATAATAATAATAATAATAAAAAATTCACACAACAACTTCATAAACAAGCTTTTTTCCATGATGAGATTTTGTTGGAGTTGAAAAACCACTTTCTTCTTCGGATGACATTCTTCCATGTGATGTTAAATTTAAATGATTATCGTCTCGAGCTCCTATTGTATATGGTGGTATATCATTAGTACCGTTAAATTTTGTTAAAAATAATTGTTGTAAATCAGGTAAATGGTTAGGTTTTGTTATTATTCGTCCGTTAACAAAATTTTCACCATCGGTACGATCATAAAATCCATTTATTATGTGTCCATCAATATCCGATGATGAAAATGCTTGTGAACATGCTGAATCAGAATTATTTGAAGTTGTTGATGGCATACCAGAATCAAAACACATTGAATTTTTCTTTTCTAAACATATATAGAAAACAAAAAAAACATGATTTATTATCACATTAATTTATTTGATTATTTGTTTTTTTCGTGATAAACTCAAAAGAATTAGTAGAGAATAATAAAATATAATTTTTCAATGCAAGAAGATATTCTTTTACATTGAAATGTGATAAAAGAAATAAGAAAATTTATGTGTTCTGTGATAAATAAATCAAACAAGCACACATACGGACAGTATAGTGGGCAATCATACTAACAGGCTTTTAAGCCTCGTTTCACTTTTGCAAAACCTGTTCGTATTGTCATTTTGTTGGTACCTGGCATTGAATGGGAAAATTCAACATGCATATATATATACAGGTTTTCATTTCATTTTTTTTTTTGTTTTTTTTTTTATTTTAAACTCACCTTGTATTGAATATATACCATTAGGAATTTCTTGATTATAAAATAATGTTCCATTTGGTCGAACTAAATAAAGAATTAAAATAAATTTTTTGTTTACAAAAAAAAAAAGAAAAAATCGCCTTCATACTTTGATTAATTGTTGTTGTTGTTTGGGCTGGATAATAAAGACAAGAATTCGTATCAACAACTCGAACAGGTGTTGCATGAAAATTTTCTATTTGATTTCCATTGAAATTTGTTTTTAATGTATTCATAGAAGAATGTTTAGATTTTTCTTTACGTCTTTGTTGTTGTATACAAATAAATAAACCAATTAATGCAGCAACAAAACATAAACCTAATATAGCTCCTTGATGAAACGGAAAAAAAAGCAAAAGCAAAAAATAAAAATATTTTTTCGAAAAATTTCTTTTATTTACCAATTAATATTAAAATTAAATCAGATGAATCATTCGATAAAGATACACCGGTTGGTATTGATATAGATTTAGAACAAATATCTGTTTGATTTATTAAACATAATTTTAAACGTATATTTGTTTGATTATTTACTATTTCAAGTTCATCATTTGATTTTTGTAAAGAATTTAATGGTATACATGTTGGTAGATCATTTGTTGTTTCAATTATTGTTAATGATATATGATAATGTTGTAAACATAATTGATCTTTAGAAAAAAATGATGAACTATATTGATTTAATTGAAAATGTATTCGACGACCATCAGTTGTATAATAAGCACGTTGTATAATAGGAAATTCTTCGGAATGAAATGGATATTCATTTGTTAAAACAATTAAAATACTTGAATAATCACTAAAACCAAGAGTATTTTTTGAACGAATTTTCACAAAATAACGAGATTTTTCATTAAGATCTAAAAATTAAAATTTCAATAATAAAAAACAAAAAGAAAAAAATTAAAATTTATATTTACCAGTAAATCTTATTGAATTTAAACTTGTTTGTCTTTCTTCTGTACGATTACCAGTAAGACTAATATGATAGATTATAGTTGAACCACCATTATAAGCTGACTGCCATGTAAGAATAAATGAAGAATGTGTTATATTTATTGCTTGTAATTGATTTGGTGGATCAGGTAAACCAGGTCGTTGAAAATTTATTGAAAAGTCATGTTGACCATATTCATTTTTAGCTACACATCGATATAAACCAAGCATTGATGAATAAGATGGTGGTACTAAAATAAATAATCTATTTAATTAAGAAAAAAGAAATGATTAACGTACAATGTAATATAGATGAAATAACTGTTGCATTAAGAATTTTTTCTTCAGCAAATGAACTTAATCGTTGACCAGACGGTCCAAACCATACAATATCACTTTTTGGATAAGCATCAACAATACATTCTGTTGTAATATCATGATTTTCTGTAACAGCTAATTTTTTAATTGAATTCAAAATAAATGGAGCATCTAAATTAATGGAAAAAAAAAACAAAGTAATATATTTTTTCTCGACATTAGATTAGTAGACTTCCGGTTTTGATATGGACAAGATGATCCCGGTCCTTGCCTAGTTTCTTACAAGTGAGTTGGATGTCTGACCCAACAATTAATGAGATCTCGACATTTCGAAATATTTTTACTTTTTTTCATACTGCTAATTTATATAAAAGTATAGGAATAAAACACTCGGTTCGATCATGATTGAGTAATTTCTTGTACTGAACAAAAGATTACAGAAATGAAAAACGATATTGTTTCACTGAAAGAATTCGGTTTTAATGAAAATTCATCTACAGATAATGATAAAACATATGATAAAGTAATTGCATACATGGAAAGAAAAATGAATTATCACAAAAGTGAATATATATTATCGTGATGGGAAAAGCATTTATGTATACATCCATAATTATGGCGTTTAGCGGCAACTCTACTTTCCGTTTGAGCGTCATCAGGAACAATTAAACATACATTTAACGAAATTGATCGGGTCTTAAAAACAGCAAGACACTAAGTGAATCCTGAACCACTTCCGTTTCTGTGGCATTTGTAATTATCTCTTTTTTTTGTTGTTGCTGTTTATGAAAGAAAGTAAATAGTATACTTTTTTCATATAAAGTAGAAGTTTGAAAACTGCACTATAACTGTGAAAGTATTTGTCAGATGTCGATTAGTTCTGGATCAGGACTAACATGTTTTTTTTTATATAGAAAGCGATATCTTTTATTGTTATGTAAAACTTACGTCAAATGTCACGTAGCCATGACTCATGTGTTCTACAATAGATGTGGACAAGATAGGCTCTGTCCCAGCGGAACTGAAATAAAAAAGGACTGACCTCACTCGTGTGTACTTCAGATATTTTATTAGTCTAAAATGTTTTTTTCCAATTATTATTTCTATAATGAAGATATTGTGCCATACGATTCATACGAAATTGAATGTCAAACTTTCGTCATCGAATGTATTTCCGATTAAACAGGAAGGATCCAAATAATAAAAGAAAGCCGGCATAGCCCGGAGAATTCTCATCATAAATATAATGATAATAATTGATTGCTGATTGATAACGAATGTTACATTATTATTTTCTCCTTGAACTAATCATTTGGTTGGTTATCTCTTATTAACTAAATATTAACACATTTACATTATATTGCTATCAAACAGATACTCCTAATACAATATTCTTAATTCTTTATGTTCTGTTTTAAATAATATTTCAAAGAAAATAAATTTTTTATCATTTACGATCGAATAAATTCTTACATTGTATTCGAACATTAGTTGAGATTTCTGTTGTAGCTTCATGTCGATTATCAAAACCAGTATTAAGCCAATTTTTAACTAAGCATGTATATTGTCCTGAATGTATTCGATAAACATTTGGTATAATATATTCTGTTATAGTTTGTGTTCGATTTGTTAATGAACATGATTGTGTATGGATTTGTTTACTATTGTGAAACCATTGAATTTGATGACACATTGGATTTGAATCAATAGAACATTTTAAAACAAGTTTTTCACCTTGATTTAATGTTATACGATCAATCATTGATAATTTTGGTTTATCTAATAAAAAGAAATGTTTTTGTTTATTTTCTTTTTTGTCTTGTCTTATAAACAAATATTATTGTCTCTTATTTGCTTACAAAGTATATCAACATTAACAGTTGCTTCTGATTGTCCAATTGTATTTCGTCCTCGACAAGTTAATTTTTGTATATTTTCTATTCGGGTAAAATTAATTCTTAATTGTTCTTGATTTTCTCCTAAAATAAGAACATCAATAAAAAGTAACATATATATATATATATCTTAGAACTAAACCAACATTAAATTAAAGCTCTTCGATATACGGATAATTCAATTAAGTGTTTTGTTCAAATCTTTTCCTGCAAAGAGCCGAAGGCTAAACAGACTTTCGGAAGGTCGCCGCCTCCTTCGACTCTCCACACTGAATAGAATAGTGATTTAAAAGATAAAAATAAATGTGTCTAACATAATCATAAATGCCTAATAATATGTTTCGCATGAATGTCTTACCTCTAATTAATTGATCATTTTTAAACCATTCAATATTTGCTAATACTGATGGATTAGCTGATATTATACAATGTATAGTTTCAAATCTATTTTCAATTACTGTTAATGTTGTTGGTGATTGTTTTTGATTCCATGATATATTGATAATGGGTTTAACTAAAAGAGAAAGAAAAACAAAAATGTGTCAGTCGGATGATCAAACAAACTAGTCAAGTAGCTTTTAATAAATATTCTATATATATGTATGTATACAACTCACATAAAACATCGAGTTTAAGTTCAACATTTGTATCATGAATACTCGCTTCATTAGTTACTTGACAACGTAGTACATGGTCATGATCAATCGGAG